AAAATTTGTCAAATCACCCAAATTAAACACCGCAAAATGATGTCAAGTCAAACAAAAAACGCTTAGCAAGACTTTGTTTCGAAGATATTTTTAAAAGGGGTTGCCACCTGTTAAAAGTCAAATAATATTTAAATAGTAGGTTAGATGAAGCACTGCAAAATGGAGTCAAGTCAAACAAAAGATGTTTGACAAAGCTTTGTTTCGAAGATATTTTTAAAAGGGGTTGCCACCTGTTAAAAGTCAAATAATATCGAAATAGTAAGTTAGATGAAGCACTGGAAATGTGCTTAAGTGATTGGCTACTTATTACTGAATGCAGCTGTAAATCCCTCTATCGTCATAAACCAATGACAAAACTATTGACCTTTGGATTAATATAGAAAAATAGGTGGCAACCCTAATTAAAAAGTTTTCTTAAAACTCTTTCGTTTGACACTAATATTTCGATATTTCATTCATGTAGCTTGCGTATAAGTAAAATAAATTCGACTTTTCAAACAGGTGGTAACCCCCTTAAAAGTATTTTCAAACTAGAATACTCTTGTCATCCGGCATTGTTATACATATTTCAATTAACTGATGAATTAAATGATTTTTTAAGCACATGGCAACTCTTCAAAATACAGTTCAGTAATAAATTATTTTCATTTCGATTGATACCCCAATAGGTGGCAACCCTCTTCAAAATATTTCCAACTACTACCTTCTTAAACCTTTTTTGTTTGACACCTATATAGTGGTACCTTATCCGCTTACCAAATTCCTTTAATTAAAATTGACTTACATTTTTAAACGTTTGGCAACTCTCCATCACGTAGCTAAGACATAAAGCATTTTCAAAACCACTACGGTTGAAACCCATATTGTAAAAATTGATTTCCCTTTTTGAATAATTTGAGCTTAATTTTTTAATAGGTGGCAACTCTTTTCGAAAAGGCAAAACCTTATACAACATCCACACCTAAAGCCCTTTAATCTGACACCTCATTTTTGAAAATTGAACGAACGGTGCAGATCTGATGACCGGGACCAAAAATCCCTTCGCGTATTATATATCTGTGGTCATAAGCAATAACCGCCTAAGTCGACTTAAGAAAGAATTGAGCTATACATGTATACTATGGTACTAATCGATGTGTATGTAAAATTCCCATTTCGCCAGCTAGGCTATTTAAAAAGTTATAGACGCACATATTTTGGTTTCCCCATAAGGTTAACATTATGATCCCAATGGTTTAAAACGTTTTTTCTCTATATGTATATACATTTGATTAGACAGAACAAAGGCATTCATTGAGCTATTATATCCGGCACGTACAAACATAAACATGTATGCACATATGTACGAGTACGTATACAGTATGGCAGTTTCACCTATGCGCACATATGGATGCGGTTCAATACACACAAATACACAGCCGTTTGCATATTTGCATGTAAATATTAATTTCATCATAATCATATCGGTAGCCCCCCTTTGTGTGTGATGACCGTATAATTATATATTATTAGCCTGACCTAATGAATGTTTACATCAAATATTGTTGCAAGCATTTATTAAAGTAAAGTAAATGTGGCATGCGACATGCCAACGTGGCATGCACCAGTCACAATAAACATTGTAATAAGTAATGAGCTTTATATAATAAAGCTATAATTTTCGAATGAATTTCGAATGATCAAATTTCAGCTAACCCAGGTAGTCACGGATGTTCTATGTATATGTGCGTGATAAAGGCTTGACATACGAATAAAGATATGTACATAGATATGCCATTCAAATAATAGTTATAAAAGCTGATAAAGCCATTTTGTATTAAGTTGTGTTGCATACCTCGAGGCGTTAGCTAATTCAATTAAGTTGTTTTATTGCAGCAACTCATATCGGGTTGTTTGGGAAAATATTTAAATATTTTGTTTGTGCAGGTAATTCAATAGTGATTTATTCAAAGTTTCAAATAAATTGGTTTAATGTAACGAAATAGAAAATATTTTAAAAAGTATGCATATTAGAGTGGTCCAAAAAGAGTAAAGTCTAAATTTATAGCCCTATTTTTTTTGGTTTGAAATCAAACAAAATATTTAGGGAGTACCCAAAGCGCTCAAAGCGGAGATAAAACATGTTTTCATAGAAATGGTATAGAATTCTCGAAAATCTATATTTTTCGATCGGAAACTTCTAAGTTATGGTGCGCTGGTCTGGTGGAAAGCAGTGGTTGAAAGCAGCAATTAGAAAATAATTGGAAGAGTGCAGATATTCATAAGCCTCCGTTTGAAAGGCGCCGTGAGTAGCGAACCGCAAGAACATAATCTTTTACTGAAAGCTGCCACAAGTATTCGTAAAAGGCGCAGACGAAATCGTAGCATACCAATTAAGAAAACGCAGCGGTCTTGAAGGTAATTAGTGGCTGACGGAATAACGGAATCAAGACCAACTTAGACGTGGAAAATGATTACCCATCTACATCCTGGCATCTTAGTCTTAAGTTTCCCACACATAATACGTCTAAGGAAGGATTGTAAGGCGGCCTACTGTCGGTAAATCATGGTATTTAAGATAGCAAAATAAGTCGGCTCGGATCAATAGTCCAAGAACCTGCAAAGATGAGCCAATCATTTCGGCTGTCCGAAAATTGCAGTGTCTTTTCAGCGAGATCGTCGCCATGCAGAAGGTAGCTTGTCTCATACGGGATAGTAAGTCTCTGCCAGGGATCGTTGATAGCCAGGAGGTATTAGAAACCTTTCTCCGCTGGGCTCCTCGATATTCAATATCGAGGGGAACGAAATAGCTGTTGAAATGGCTAGACACGGCTCGGAAACGCAGATCAGTGGAGCGGATAAATCCCAACACCCAATAATTTCTGATCTACTAAGGAGGATTAAAGAACACATCCGTAACCGTAATTAATTATCTATGGAAGATTCGCGATGACTATGATATCTCAGGATCCTTATAGCCGAGACTCAATATAAGCTAAAGCACTAGTGCTACATCGATGTCGTATACCAACAAGCTTGCTGTGCAGAAGTTGCCGGTATGAGGAAGAAGAGGAAGCGGTTCACCACTTGCTGTGTCAATGTCCGGCTCTCCATACATGGCGTGCCAAGTATTTGGGGTCATGCTTTTTCAATAAATGGATTGCGGTAGAAAAGGGAAGTAAAAGTATGGGTAATCCACAGATCCACCCGAGACAGGATAGTAAATGGGTGAACAGGCACCATACTGAAAATATGGAATAACTTCGGTTAGAAGGTTCTGCCTCCGAGTTCAGAAACGAATAATTCGTATGCGTATTTCTAACCTAAAAATTGGATGAATTCTTCTTTAGCAGTTCCAAAACTCCACTAGTAAAAGGACGTTGAATGTAGATAATAGGTTTGGACATCTTTTCATTTAAAAACTGACCAAATATACTTCGATCCAGACATTTATTTGCATATCTCAAATTTACTAGCCTTTTGAAAGCTGATGTATTTACTGTGACGATCTAAGCGTGGCTGTGTAAGCGTTGATAGAGTGTGTGCCGCTTGCTACAGTGTCCTATAGATTTGAAATGTGTTTGATTGGGCAGAGCATATGTTCACCCAGAAGAAAACCAATCAGCAAATTTGTACGATTTTGAAACCACAACCTTGTGCAAACCTACAGTCACTTGGTAGTTTTTGATGAATTCATACTGGAAAAGGTGGCTGCACTCTGGTCGCTGCAGAAATGGCTCCTTTGGCCTCACTCTTGCTATGGGCGTGCACCGTCTTCCTCTAAGGCTCTCTGACAAAGTGAATTACTTGGGCGTGGTCCTTGATAGTAAGCTTTCCTGGAAGCCTAGCATAGAGGAAACAAGTCAGGAGGGCCACAGTACCCTTGTACTGCTGTAGAGAGGCATTGCGAAACGGCCGAGCTTTTCGCAAAAGTAGTTCACTGGCTTTGTGAAACTATAATTAAGCCAAATTTTATTATATCGGGTGAAAGCATTGGACAAGGCCTTCATCGTGAGGAAGCTGGAAAGGGGTTCAAAGAGCTGCCTTAATTAGAATAAGTGGGGCACTTCAAACTACACCTCATCTAGCGCTCAACGCCATGTTAAATGTTGTGCCTACAGATATAGCTGGCAGGGTTGCCGCTGCGTGAGCCGCAGTAAGGCTAAGTGGGGTGGCCTCCTAGTTCGCCTCTATGGGCACTCCGGTATTCTAAAAGACCTCTACTGTAACAAGGAGTGTCTGAATTCATTATCGACCGTATCGGATTACTTCGCTATTAGAATTAATTGGTTTCCAGGTCACAGCAAAACGACTCGAAACAGCATGGCCGATGAGCTGGCAAGACAGGGAACCGTTGAGGAATTATTTACTTTCGAATAGAGAAGGTCTGGGCATTTCCCTGACCTCGTGTGGTCTGCTTCTGGAGAGATGTGCATTTAGACAGCTCAGCGAGCGCTGGGCGAAGACTTTGGAATGCATGGTGGGAAAATACGTCTGGCCACGTGTATACCGGAGGCGGTTTGGGAACCTCTTCAGGCTAAGCAAATTACGTCTTCCGCTATTGGTGGAAGTGTTAAAAGGTCATTGCGCGATAGGTAAGCATTCCTTAAGGCTGAACATCATCTATAACCCTTACTGCGCCAGCTGCAGGGATAATGATGAGGTGGAAAGGATCACGGAGCACGGAGCGTTTCTCTTACAAGATGCCATAGGTCCCCTTAACTTCCCCCTCTTTCCATACTCCTGCGTCCTTTTCCCTCTCCTATCTTAAGGCCATCTCAACGAACAGCTTAATCGTGTCTAAGTGGACCTCCATCTACGGAGAAAGCTTGATAATTTAACCTTACCTAACATAACCTAATCTGGCAGCACTATGGATATTACCTTTGTCTATGCGAGACCTCTTATGGTTAGCCAGCATTTCTGTATGTATGTATTTCGTTGCATAAAACCACAGTAAAAAAAGTTGTTGAGATAAATGTACTTTCCTTTGAAAATTATACTCATAGCAGTTTGGAAAAATGCCAGACACCATACGCTTCGAAAGCTTTCTACGCCTACCGAACTTCCTTTACCGCAGTGTCGGCATCGATTTATGGGGCACACATGGCGGTCTACTGCAACAAGCTTTATTCTATTTGTGCATAATAAATGTTAATATTTGGCTAATCTCTGAAGTAATTTTGGCATTGATGATTTTCGGCAAGAATATCGTACAAGCAACTATGACACTCTCCTACGCTGGCTTTGTACTTGTCGGTTTTATCAAATTGTACTACATGTGGCGAAAGAAACAAGAATTAACGCGCTTCTTAATCCAAATGGACGCCATTTTTCCACGCAAGGCAAGCCAACAGCAGTCAATGGATGTGTCTCGGCATTTGCGTCAAAGCTCCATTGTAATGAGTATTTTTTCGCTTATAGTTATGATGCTCATCTGCACCTACAATCTCTATCCGTGGCTGCATCGTGAATTGTATGACTGTTGGCTGCACATGCGCAGTATAGAAAAGTCGCTACCCTACGAAAGTTACATACCCTGGAATTGGCACGATCACTGGAGTTACTATTTGCTTTATGTTTCTCAAAGCTTTGCCGCCTATCATGCGGCAGCCGGACAAATTGCTAGCGATTTGGTGCTCTGCGCAATGGCAACCCAAATGGTAATGCATTATGAGTATGTGGCGCTTAAAATTGAGCAGTATCAACCGAAATGGGGTACTAGTTGTTGTGTAAATCGGCAGCAGCAGGTTAAGCTCGTGCAAGCAAGCAGTCAATGGGAGATGAAAAGAGCTGCTTATATTGAGGATATGCGATTTCTAGGTGACTTAATTGCCTATCACTCGAATATTTTGAGGTATGTTGTAATAAATTACTTTCTGCTACTTTCCTAATTTCCAATGGTCTTCTAGCCTATCAAACTTTATGAACGAGGTATTTGGTGTGCCACTACTGGTCAACTTTATGGCTTCATCTTTTGTAATTTGCTTTATCGGCTTTCAAATGACAATGGACACTGAACCGGATTACAAGGTTAAGCTGTTGTTATTCTTCTTCTCGTCTTTGACACAAATTTATTTGATTTGCCACTATGGGCAGTTGCTATTGGATGCGGTGAGTAGAAGTGTGGCAAAAGCAGATTCAAACTAAGGAAATAGCGAAAACACAGAGAAGATACTTCGAATTTGTTGAAGGTTTTATTATTTCGACAACTGTCTTTTATGCTGCCGAGACAATGACTACTAATCCTGAAATCATCATCTTGTATTGAGATAACTGAGCTTTATCGCTTACACAACATTCCCTACAATCATTCCGCTTCTGAACTTAAAACAAAAACCCCTTCACCTTTCTTCTCTATTTTTCAATCTCCTAATTCCACCGTTGTGGCTTAGGTTGTCATTTAGGCCTGTAATTTAGAAAAGAAAAGCTAAAGGCCTGAATAAGTAACGCTCTTACTTTGTCAGTGCCCTGAGCTGGCGATGAGTGGACTGAGGTGCGTGAGTACTGGAAATTTGGAGACCTAAGCGATATGTTCGGCATGCGGGAATAGTGACAAAGTGATTGCNAGGCCTGAATAAGTAACGCTCTTACTTTGTCAGTGCCCTGAGCTGGCGATTAGTGGACTGAGGTGCGTGAGTACTGGAAATTTGGAGACCTAAGCGATATGTTGGGGCATGCGTGAATAGTGGCAAAGTGATTGTACGAATTCGTCAACTCCATATACTAAACGGCGCCCGGTTAAGCCTTGCTACCAAGACCAAATTTCTAAGTCGTTGTTTTAGATAAGAAGCTGAACCGGAACGAGAGTATAGTCTAACGTTATGAGATGGCTTCTGTAGCCTTCTATACTTGCAAAAGGGTCATAGGCAAGAAATGGAGCCTCAGTATCCGGATTTTTCGGTGCATATTAATAGCAGTCTTTAGACAAATCCTCCTATATAGAGTAATCGCATGGTAGCCTGCATTCAACCTCGGGCTACTGTCGGTTATGGAAAGCAATTTTAGCCCACGAATCCCAAGCAGGGAGGAGTTCAAAGAAGATTTTAACACTTCACTCGATAGTATTGATATCTCTACACATGGCTCGAAACTCCACAGTAAAGTAGGAGGAAGCGCTTTCTCACGAAACCCTCCTCTAAAAATCTAGTTTAGGTTACCAAACTACTGAAGCGTATTGCAAGCTGAAGTTTCAGCTCTCATCTCCATGAGATTGCTGAGAATCTTGGAACCGAAATGATGGGAAGTGACACCTTCATTTCTAGTCATAGCCAGACTGCTATCAAAGCGCTGAGCACTTTCACGTTCTACTCAAAGATTCCGCTGGACAGCCGCCTATCTCAATAGGTGATACAGTATGACTGCCCTGCACTGTGTGGAAGCAGGCTGCATTATCTGGATTCCTCGTTGCTGTCCTACCTTAGGGAGGTTTCAAATACCGACGCAACATGACTGATGCGATTCATCAGTGACACGAACAAGGAGGATAATTTGGCGGTGTAAAAGTGTGCCGATGACGGCGGGTTGCGGTATCGAGATTCCAAGTAATCCCACAACAGGCTCGAAGAAGGGTCTAAGTGTGCTGCCGGCAGCCACGTCAAAGTAGTAAAAAAATAAGTTTCAGCCATCGCTTACACGCTAATCCTGACGGAAAAGTCAACAAACACCAACAAAATTTCTGGCGAAGCAACATCGCCAGCAATACTTATAAATTCAATCCTGAAAATGAAAAAATTTTTGCTGTGCTTTCTTTATTTTTTACAGCTAAAATAATTAGTTTAAAATTACTACTGTGCATATCGTGTTTTATCTACATTACTACGAATATTCTACTACGAACTGCATCTATACGAGATATAGTGCATACATATTTGCGTATGTACTGTACATGTACATTAAGGGTGGTCCTTTAAAAAAATCAAATTAACGATTTTTTCAGTCTCACCCCCTTCATCGCGTATCACATATATATACATATGTACATATGACCAAATCTCACGAGTTGTTTTTTCAGTTCATCACCTCTCTCACAAGCATTCTTCTTGCATTTATCTCAATCAAGAGAGTTCCAGAAACAAGACGAATAAAGAAATAAATCAAGTATTTGAACAATTTTAGCTTCAAAGTGTTTATTTAGGCGAAGAAGCAGCGAAACTACAAGTTTTACATTGTCACCAAAAAAAAAATCATTACTCTTTTTTTAAATAACTTTGGAAAGTTTTCAAAGAGAATGTTCATATTACACGCAATCAAAGTTACTATTAAATACAGCATATCAGTGAAGTTTTAAGAGTGCGCCACCAAATTAAAAAAAAATGGAAGCGTGCCGCAGCTATTTTTAGATTTTGAAATTTAACGATTTTTAATTTTAAAATTTTAAGATAAGTTCTTCAAAATGGCAGTTTTAATAGTGAAAATGTTCTTGCCAAAATGAGCCAATCTAGAGCAATAAACTTAATGTGCCACCAAATGAAAAAAAAATATATTGATTATAAGATCTATGATTTGAGAGAAAAATACAATTTAAAATTTTTTATTGGCATGCTCGAAATTCTAAAATTGTTATATACATGATGAAATTAATATACATTAGACTGCAACACTCTCCATACAAAAAAAAAAAATAAGTGCTGTGTTTTCATTGGTATTAAAAAACCTATTATTTTTTAAGACGTCCACTGACATATTTCGGAAAAATATTATGATTTAAAAAACGAAGTTTTTTATGAGTAAAAATAGTTTCTTAAATTTTTTCTTTTGAAAAAATCCCCTCAAATGACAAAACGGTTTAAGCTTAAAAATTTTGCATAAAAATATTTTTAAAAAATTTGAAAAAAATTTTGAACGGAATCGTAATAATGTTTTTTAACCTTTTTCAAAGATTGGTATAAGCGTGCGAGTAAATATTTTATATAACCGCGTATGATGCTACGGGACGTATACGTTACATACAAAACTACGGATATATGAGCACGTATTGTTTTGACTTTTTTCGCTATCTTTTTTAAGTTTTCATTTAAATACAATTTCGCGGTTGAATCGTATTCTTTGTGCAAAGCTAAAGATAATGCATTGTCCAAGATAAGTGTGCCACTATTTTCGACCAAAAACTCGAGAGTTTTGTTTATATATGTATGTGCATACATGCTTTTGAGCCAACTAATTGCATTTTTGATTCAATCATAATACATAGTCCTTATTAGTGCAAAAATTTTATAAGACAGTTTCATAATCTGCATAAGAAGAGAAAGAGAACAAGAAAAAATCTATTTAAAGATATATTGGTCATAGATAAATAATACCTTAGCACTTACATCGGTAATGGTTTCCCGAGATATGGGCCATAAACTGGTCGCGTTCAAGTATGCTGGCCTCTGAGCACGCGCAGTTATCAGCACAAGCATTTTTTGATAACGCACTTCAGCTTGAGTCCATTCATGGAATTGTACAGCTTTCGCAACATTTGTGCTCTGTGCAATTAGAGGTAAGTAGATGATAAGTGGCGGAAAAAATGCTTTCAGACTTTCAGTCTAAGAAACAGACTCACCGAATCGATTAGTTGTTGTGCAAAATGACAGATTAGAAATACTTGCATTAAAGTGACTGCGAAGAAAACTGCCAGTTTAATAGTAAAGTCGAGTTCTCGACTGACGGTAATTTGAAATCCGAGAAAACAAATAATTGCCGACGAGGTGAACAAGTTGATAAAAAGTGATACACCAAAGAAATCGTTCATTAAATCAGATAGCCTTGAGTGTAAATGAAACAGTAACAACTGTAAACGAGTGATAATTTGATAATTATGTGGACCCTAGGGTGGCCCAAAGAAAGTAAGACCAGAATATTAATGCTCTGAACCCTGGGATTATTTTATATGGGATCGTTAAAATAAAAAAATAATTAAATAAAAAATTGAGTATTATTCTTTGATATGTTAGTGTTTCGCCGAGATTCTCCTCCGATTAGTGGCAAGCGCTTTGAAACTTTGAGCGAACTTGAAATATTTTTTTTCGTAAAAAAAACGCAACTGGGATACATTTTTTTGATATATAACGACCCTAGTGGGTGAGAGCATTAAAATTCCTTGTAATTTACATTTACCACATGCATTTTTGGACCAACCTAGTGGATACCTAGGCACTCAACACTCACCTCAACACCTCCACATGGTAAGCAACGATATCGGAAATGTACCGCTTATCCTCATCAAATAGACGCAACTCCATAGCCACTCTCGCCAAATGGGGTCCCTTATTATTTTCACGTGCCTCAGCAAATTTCGGTTTGCACTTCTCCAGGGTGCGTGCAATGTGATCGTAGTGCATTATTAGCTGTGTTGCCGTTGCGCAGAGTAGTAAATCGAGCGCTACTTGCGCGCTTACTGCATGCCAACCGGCGAAACTCTGCGACAGATAAACCACATAATAGCTCCAATGGTGCTGCCAATCCCACGGATAGTAGGCATTATAGGGCGCAGTTGGTTCGAGATCATGCTTGTGCTGGATATTTGTATGAATAAATTGTTTCAACAATGCATAAACATTATAGGTGGATATGGCCACAATAAAAAGACCTGTATAGCCTCGCATTACAAGCGAATTGTATTTAATATAATACTTCAGGCATATGTCTTCTTGCTGCGTACGGGTGCGCGGAAAAATAGCAAACAAACGATTCAAAAATTCGTCCATTTTGTTTTTTTCGATGACCATATAGTAGTATTTCCCAAAGGAGACCAGGTCAAAAGCGACGAATGTTAGAGCCATAGTTGCCTCGATAAGATCCGTTTTGATTTTCATAGCGCCATAGTAAAATTCGGCCATGAGAGTTATTAATAAGTTAGTTGTGGCAAAGAATAAAACAATACGACGCATCAGTCCGCCACTGGGGCCCCAAAGATCAGCACCACAATTGTGGAAAAAGAAGCTGGGGAGCGTTAGAAATTCTTCGAAGCGAAAAATAGTAGCCATGACGAAGATTCTGCAGAATTTTTGGTAGTCTGCAAGTGCAAGGGTTCGAGTTTTTCGAAGTTAATGTATATTATAATCCTTTCTCATTTTATGCAGTGTTGGATAGCGTAATGACTTAAAAACCTCACTTTTTTAAATAAATGA